AACTGTTGAAAAAAATATTAAAGAACGACTGCGTAAAAGACGTCTGAAACTCTTAGATGCGGGAATGCAGGCGCGGATCCAGACCGTGGCAAAAGTGGCTCGAGCCACGGTCAGATTTTTCCCACCTAAGATTTTCCGGGGTTCACCTTTGTTGGATACTACATTAGACTGCTTACGCATTTTTAAGAAGTATATATTAGTTATTTGAAATACAGCAAAATTGAGCAAATATAGGTCTGTAGCAAACAATTTGAATAATATCTTTCGTAATTGTTCTCATATTACAGTAATATGTGCTAAAAGCAGGAAAAACTTCCGAAATATATTCCTTGTTCAATAGTATAATTATCCAGTTAAACACTGAACTATAAAAACCGCCGAAAGCGTGCCGAATTGTCCCGAATATGTTCGGAAAACAGTCGTAAATTCGAAGCTGCAATCACAGCCACAAAATGCCACGGTCAGCGTGCAAAAAATTGCGCAATTGTTACTAAATATAGTAACTTTCTGCCACGGTGCAGCGTTGCAAACCAATCACAGGGCAAAGTTGTGGTCATGTGCGCCACGGTCTGCCACGGTGGCTCTGTTTTGATTGCGCAATACAAATGATCAACAATAAAGTTCGATACTTGTCGACTTGACGGGATAAAGAATAATACATCACAAGCTACATGGATGCTATCAGGATGGAAGCTTTAAAAAAAAGTCGATGTTCTTAGCAAGCTCGTCGAAATCTTTCAACAAGCAAACCTAAGCGAACATATTTCAGGGGAATTATCGCTCTTGAGGCAACAATATGATGGATTTATCACTGAAGAAAGGCTGCGCCGTTGCATCTACTGGCGTCTGGCGACATCGTGCTGCCAACGTGCGAATTTTCAAAACTGCAGTTCTCCAAGAGCCAAACTGAAAGATCTGGGCCTAATGTTCCTGTTAGGTAAGAATTTTTAATCGACTTATATTAAATTTGCATTTTATACGCTGGGGTCAGGGAATATAAATTTGTGCATGCAAATTTGTATGTATGTAAATTTTTGTTAGTGAAATAGTATTATAGTAATATGATCTCGAACACATGGCGGTTAATAAAATATAAATTGCATTTATCCGCTATGTAGTCGTGAAATATTAGTAAAAACTCTGTTTAAAACTGTTATCAGTATTTTGCTACTGTTTACGGCTACAACATTTGATTGTCGACTGTAAAATGAAATGTTTACTTCTGTATTGGGTCTATATAGTCGTCTATTTGGTTTCACCAAGCTTTAAATATAACGCCTTAATATTTGTAGGTTGACCAGGGGTCGGTTGTTCTAAGCTAAGGCTAATCCTTGGTTAAAATTTAACCTAGTGTTTTTGTTTGTGTGTTTCTGCATGCCTGTTTACTTCGAAGCTTTGAAGAAAACTTTCATTCATCCAGACAAGATTTCTGAAGAAGTATTTCTAAATTGCTTGTGTGATGTTACTCTGAGTGTATATCCACACCGGGCAGGGTTGAAAAATATGCCTGGCCATGGTGGGATTGGAACCTACGACCTTTGGAATACTAGCCCAATGCTTTGCCAACTGAGCTATGCGGTCAGGTCGGTTTGAGTATGCAATACTTTGGAACTGAGTCTAGTTCCTTCGATATCAGTGTAAATTGCCACTAATCTAATAATCATGATATTTGCTGTGTTGGACTGTTAGTGTAATGTACTCAGGTGAATAAGATGCTTGAGTGATGTTACTCTGAGTGTACTGTATATCCACACCGGGCAGGCTTGAAAAATATGCCTGGCCACAGTGGGATTCGAACCTACAACCTTTGGAATACTAGCCCAATGATCTGCCCAGGAATACTAGCCCAGTGCTCTCCCAATGCCTTTGCCAAAGGTCATAGGTTCGAATCCCACCGTGGCCAGGCATATTTTTCAAGCCTGCCCGGTGTGGATATACACTCAGAGTAACATGACACAATTTGGATTCTTGCACTTCACTTGGTGGAAGTAATATTAGAATGTTAGGGTTAGTAATCCAAGTGAGAATATATACATTTTAAGACCTAACCAGGAACGACTGCAAAAAATGCAGCACAAGGTCCTCTGATAGGAATTGCAAGGCCGTAGGTTCATTTCCTACCAGAGGACCTTGTGCTGCATTTTTTGCAGTTGTTCCTGGTTAGGTCTTAAAATGTATATATTCTCACTTGGATTACTAACCCTAACATTCTAATAACATCACACAAGCATCTTATTCACCAGAGTACATTACACCAACACAGCAAATATTTTTAACAACTGACCCCTGGAGGGTGACTACCTCACAGGTGTTTGTTGTGCATGAATATTGATGTTGTTGTGGATGATGTCATCCTGATCCTAATCCTGACATTAAAACCTAATCCCGAATCTAAAACTGCAACAAAATCCCATGAGTTAGTCAAGGCCAGCTGTGAATTTGATGTCATCATGATGTTACTCAAATTACACAAAGACATTGTAGGGGGCCTCATTGTTAAAATAATTATGATTATGGCTCAATTTCCATATTAATGATCCCAAAGTTTAATCTCCAGTCCTTACCTTAAAACCAACTCTAGTTCTATTGGTTACCCTGACTAATTCTAGTAATTATCCTTTCGGCACAAAGTTATATGGAATTATATTATACAAGCAAAAGGAGGGAAAACATTTGGGAAAACAAATGGTTCCTTGCTATTTCTCAAATGGCAAGGCATAACATTTGTTCTCCAGATAATTTGAGCGAAGTTTGCAAAGTATAATCACATAATTACTGTGTGGTGTAAAGAAGTTGACATTCTGGTTAAAAGTTTCAATTGAATATTTACAAAATAATATAAAATAACCATTGATACTTAAGTACTTCTTAAGTAGATATCTTTCAGTACTTCATTGTCTCTTTAATGCATGTTCTATTGTGTTAATCGGGAATGAGAGTTTGTCTGCTCACTTGAGATGCCTCACCAGTATTGAACTGTTTGAGAATGCCAAATACTATGCTAACCACTCCTTCATTGAGTCCCAGCATAAAAACGTAATAGCGTTCACTACACTTAAAAATGCCTTTGCCACGTGTGTATCTGATGCAGCTCTTACTTTTTTCGAGAATTGTAATGAAATGCAGCAGTTTTAGAAGAAGCAAAGGAAGCTGCAAAAAATTACACATTCTCATCCATGGTGTGCATGTTTGCCTTGTCCACAGTAATTCAGTGTGCCATTCAGTCATTCTACACCCACTCACCAATGATACTGTAGTGAAAGAAAATTGGGATTCCTTGGATTCAATTGTACAACACAGTATATCCACGGGATTATCTTGATGGCAGTGCAATTGGATATGTCCATATCTTTCATTGTGCTGCGATGCCACCGTCTTATTTGGTTGATCGAAGAATTCTATCTACCAAAAATCATTTTGTTACCTTGTGCAAACCAGTTAAAGCACTTCAGCCACGAGACCATTATTTTAAAGCGCACCTTCCAATCTTATTGAAGTCTGCGATGCCAGTTCATCCTAAAGTTCCTCCTACACTGCTACAGTTTCTCCTAAAGTTTCTACTAAAGTTTCTTCTGCTCCTTCCTCTACACAAGTGACTACATTTACTAAAAAGCAGACGACTGGTCCAAAAAGAAAACAAATTAGCTTAGATCGATGCGCTTCTTGTGAAACGAGCGTGCAACACACAAGAAACTGTAGACAGTGAAATCAAATTTCCCAGCACTAGTAAAGGAATTTCATCTGTAACTCCCAACACTGGTCCTACTTCAGAAAAATATAACACCAAAACACAACGAACTTCCACCAATTCGTGGCCAGATGATATCTAAACTACGTAAATCTGGTGTCCAGTCTTCCTGATTCAAAAAAGTACGAAATTCTGTGCAATCATTGCCATTGGAAACCTGGTTCTGATTTTTCTTTTCCTCCACGCGAAAATATTGGTAGACGTTTCCGGTTGGCATGGTTATCACGATTTCCATGGTTGGCTTACTCTGCTGTGGCAAACGGTGGTTTTTGCGTCACTTGTGTTCTTTTTGGCAGTGAAAGCACGCATAATGCAAGCGAGCTCCAACGATTGATGACCAGTGCTCTTCCTCCAAGTGCTTCTGCTGTCCAGAAACTATGTCAGCATGGTGAAAAATCCAATGTTAACACAACGGCAACTCTCCGTGCTACACAGTTTAAGCGAATGATCGAGAATAAGACACTTGGTATCGATGTGCAGCTGAAAAAACCCACCCCGTAAAAGACCTACGTTGCAACTGAAACGCCAAGATGATTGAGTTCGATGTACAGCCCTAATTGGATATTTTTTGCTACGAAGAACCTGAAATACACAGGAACAGTACGTGCGGTACAGAATTGTGGTTTTATGTAATTACAGTGATTTTGTAACATTCTAATGTTGTAACGTTCGCTGAAAAACATGGTATGTTGTTTAAATATTTGACTTATTTAGTGCGTTTCGTTATTTGCTGTCTAAAATATGGCGTAATTAATGACGAATTATATGATAGAATTCGATGCTCAGAACTCAGGAAATGGCATTTCCGGGGTTCAAATTTCAAAAATTTTCCGGGGGGGAATGCCCCCGGACCCCCCTAATTATGCGCGGTTTTGGAGTGCGCCACGGTCAGGGTTTAGGCTGGATCCGCGCCTGTCTGTATTTTCTTACTTCTTCAAGAAATAGTTCTTTTTCGAATTCAACAGCAGCAGAGTCCAGTCGCTCCACGGGAGCTTCAGCATCATTTTCTTGAATGGTTTCATCGTCTTCAACTACGTCAGTCACACCAGGACTGTCTGGACTTGTTTCAACACCTTCCGGGCTCTCCACATTTAAGTTAAAGTCGGTTTCGGCACTCCAAAAAGTTTGTCGTTCTTCTTGGTCCGCCATTTTGATTGGCTTGCTCCTTTTTTCGCGGCAAAAAAGTAGGATTCGGTCGAACTCGTTTTTTCGCTTCGACGAAGCTTTTGTTCGCTTATTCTTCGCTTTGGCGAATTGCTCGAATGACGTAATTGCTAAATGCGCATGCGCATCGGCGAAAAAAGTCGCTTCGCGCGAAAAAAATCGCTAGTGGAAAACCGGCTTTAAGCCCGTTCTCCACTACGCGAATTTGTTCGCGCGACGCGAAGCGAAAACCGAAATCCGGCAACGTGATTGGTCGGCGAAAAAATTCGCGGCGAAAAAGTAGGATCGCTTCCTACTTTTTATCTGTTCGCGCGAACAAATTCGCCTAGTGGAAAACGGGCTTTAATCTGTGCCGTTGGGATTTGCTTCGACGAGGGATACGGATAAAATACAAGCGTAAAACCTCGTTCGTTGCAGTATATTTTGAACAAATAAACAATTTATTAGGAAAATACGTTCAAGAAACGTCTCGTGCTGTACTAGCCTAATTCTGGCAAACGTTATTTACTTTCTTCACCTTCGTGTCGACGACTGTTGTTTGCTGATGGCCAAATCACGACAGCGGACATCAATTATTCAAAATATGTTCTTATAGCTTCACGTTTACGATACGAATGTAAGATTATTTATTTTTTGTATATGTAGGTTTTAGTTGAAAGTAACAGCGACGATGAAAAAAGTGCACACAACATTGAAATATCAGTTCACTACTAGCTCAAATCGTGCGACATATCACTTGCTAGTAGCCCAGTCTAGTTTAACTTTGCCCAATCAAGAATCATCTCCTGAATCAGGCATACTGGCAACACTGGTTCATTTGATAATGTAAGTTTTTAAACTGGTATTTTAGATTTATATAGCCTCTGTCAAATCAGGATGAAAGTCATGCATGAATTGCTTATCAATACACAAAGGACATTTCAAGTTCCAGATGAACAAAATATTATTAAAGCTTTGATGAGTGTTCTGCAACTATGTTTCAACTTTAAAATACTCTCATCCTCGTTTGACCCATAATTATTTGTTGATTTTACTCGATACTAAATAGTGAAACATCGAATCCAGAGAAAATCTTTATATATGCAGAACCCACTGTAATTCCGAGCTGTAATCACATAATTATATAAAAGTCGTTTCAGTAGCAGCAAAAGCCAAACTAAACACCAATCTAGGATTAATAGGTTTAGCTTTTAGGCCGAGAATAATACACGATTGACAATTTTGTGGCTGATTGATTAATTAATTAATAGTATACTGTATATTGATGTTGTTGTATACAGGACATCTGACTTACATGTCAAATTAATAGTCGAATCTATGATTATATTGAGCATGGCAGATTTGACATTTGAAACATTGTTGATGTTAATAACCCGTTGAGTCGCATTGCGCCCTGATGCGCACTAAGTATTTATTATTTTACTCTGGCTATCTAACGCTAGCAATTTTTTTACTCATCAAGGGGAGAGCACTGGCGGTTAATGTGTTAACTAGCCTATCTGCCCATGTGTACATAGTTAACCCATTGAGTCGCATTGTGCCCTAATGCGGCCTAATTTATTATTTTACTCTGCCTATTGCAGGACAATATTAAGGGCAGAGCGCTGGCTTAATGTGTTAACTAGCCTATCTGCCCATGTGTGTTGTTAACACATTGAGTTGCATTGTGCCCTAATTTATTATTTTACTCTGTCTAATGCCAGATGATTTCACTCATTAAGGGGAGAGCACTGGTTCTTAATGGGGTTAACTGGCCTATCTGCCCATGTGTGTTGTTAACACATTGAGTCGCATTGTGCCCTAATCTATTATTTTACTCTGTCTAACACCAGATGATTTTACTTGTCAAGGTAAGGGCGCTGGTGCTTAATGGGTTTAACTGGCCTATTTGCCTGTGTTTATAGTTAACCCATTGAGTCGCATTGCGGGTTAATATTGAAAATATAGATCAACATTTGTCAAAACGCATGACTCATTTCTGTAATAATTAAGATATTAATTAAAATACCAAATATAATGCCTTATGGCTTATTTCAAATAGGGAGATGCTATGTCCATTGAAACTTAGTGGATTTGTTGTAGTACATCAAATAAATGCTAGCCATA